ACACACACACACACACACACACACACACACACACCCTCTTCCGCTTATCCACTTCAGCTTCAACAACCACAAAAAGCTTATCAGCATGATGAATGTAACTGTTAATACAAATTTAAAATGTTGAGAAATACTACAGACATAACTTAATTTCTTATCAGTTAATGCATATAGTCACGCTGAGAAACATTGGCTGTTGGCAGTGTTAGTATTAATGAAGTGGTTAATGGGGAGTGTGTGTTTGCGTTGTTGTTTGTTTGTTTTTTGTTTTTGTTTGCGTTAATATAGTTTCTATAGTAAGTGCCCTTTCGATTCTTTATGATTTATTTTAGTTTGTTTGTTCTGCTTTTTTCTTTCGCAGAAAGATTGTGAGAAGTACGCGTGGGCAAACCTTTTCTACGTCAACAATCTTGTGCACGTTGAAAACATGGTGTGTTGACCACTTTCACTCGTTTTTCCTTCTATCTATCTCCTCCTCTTTCTCCTCATCCTCTTCCTCCTCTTAGCTACTCTTCTTTCTCCTCATCCTCCTCCTCCTCTTAGCGCCTCCTCTTTTTCCTCTTTTATATATGATGTGATGTGGGCCAATGGCCTTAAATACTGAATAAACTTACTAACTTATTTACTTTCTCCTCTTTCTCCCCTTCTTATGCTCCTCCTCTTCCTCCCCTCCTCCCCCCCCTCAATGCCCTCCTCCTCCTTCTTCTTCTCCTTCTCCTCCCTTCCCTCCACTTTTTCCACACCCTTTCTATTCTCCCCGCCTCATCCTCCCCAACCTCAATATCCATAAAGACGAAAAGTTTTCACTAACATCTACAGTCTTCTGTCCCAGAAAAGCATAACTGCTACACCGATGTGCCCTTACAATGACCCCAGATGTCACGCACAAGGTCAACCAGTTCAGAAAGGGACGATTGCATTTTACTTAACTTCAGTTTTAGTTCGAGTTTTACGACTCTTTTAACACAATAAGGCCAGGTAAGCCCGAAGATAAGATATAGGTATTGCAAGAAAGTAACAATACAAAATATTTGTCTATGTCCCTTTTTAATAACTGCAGGAAATAACCCCGTCCATCTGACAGAGCCTGCTTTTCAGACATCGTTATACAAAAAGACGCTCTTGACTTCTGACCCTCCGCCATTCAGCCCCTGGGCACGTCGACCTTGAGCTTGGGGATTATTTTTTCGAGGTTGTCTCCTCTAGATCTCTTTTAAACAATCGAACTGTAAAGATAGATGTCCCAGAACTGACGGTATATGGACAGAATATTCAAAGATGTCTGAAGATGCGGTATCTGGGAGTGGTTTTTGATCAATGTCTATCCTTCAAAGATCACATAGATGGTGTTGTGGAAAGGGCAAAGAAGGGCTTGAATGCAGAGAAGGTCATGGCGGCTTCGGGAATGGAACAAAGGCTACTGCTTCTTATGTATCAGCAGCTGGTCTGGGCAGTAATCGATTATGGGCTAGGAGTATTGACTTTGACAAAAACCCAACTGGACAAATTGGATCGAGTTCAAAATGAAGCCATGCGCATCATACTAGACTGCACCAGGGTTACGCCAATTATCTGTATGCGGCATGTATTGGGCCTCCTGTCAGTGGAAAACAGACACAAAGTGGCTCAGGTTAGGGCGTACATGAGGGTGGCGGCGGATAAACAACACCAACTTCACGAAGCCATTGGAGCAATCTAGGGAAATCGCCTTAAACGAGGAGTTTCTTGGATGGCTGAGGCTGAAAACCCCATCAAGGAAGTCTGCCCACTGGAAGATATAAAGCGGGGTGAAGAATGGATAAAGATGAATGAGAGACAGCAGGGAGATTTTGGGAAGGTAGTGATTACGCTGAACAGAGAATGTAGAGAGTGACCGCATGGGGCGACAGATGCTGAGATACGAAAACTGATTGAAGAAAACTCACGGCACGGAGCTGTGGTTGTATACACGGATGGATCTGTTAAACGAGGGGGAAAATCTGGATGGGGCTTCTTAGCAAGAGTGAGTGGCAGATTGGTGCAGGAACCGCAGAGAGCATACGATATGACAACATCCAGCATGAGAATGGAGATAGAGGCAATGACTCAGGCTCTCAAATGGGTCACAACAACTCGACAAGCACATGTGGTCTTTGTCACAGACTCTCAGAGCACTCTGAGGAAGATTGAAAGTTGGAACCTTAGAGCTGAATGGACAGAGCTCCTGAAGAAGACAACACTGAAAAAGATCACGTGGATCTTCACCCCAGACCATGCTGGAGTGAAGGGCAATGAGCAGGCTGATGAGCTCGCTCGAAAAGCAAAACCAGAAGGGAAGCTGTGCACTGACAAACATGAAATTGTACGGTCAGCCAAGGAAAAAAGAGAAAAAGAACAAGAAGAGACGGAATACCATCATCTTGAGCGGCTTCGTGAGCTTGAAATTAGATGGAGTGCCTGCAGAAGTTCAAGACTGAATGGGAGGAGCAGAAGGTTATGGAATCAACCATTGCTTGGAACCGTCAGCATCTACACACTTTGAGATGTGCTTCTTCAGGGGATGGAGCGCTTATGGGAATGCCCCTTGTGCAGTGATGTTGGTTCTTCACACAAAACAAAACAAAACAAAGAACACAAAAAAGGAGGAGAGATAACAAGGACTGCAGACGTTCGATAGGAAAGAAAGAGCAAACTACACCGAAGCACCTGCCAACCACTCAGACACTAACTCATATCACAAAACAAGTTTTAAAAAACATAAATAAAGCAACCAGTAACAAAATAAGCTGGAAGAAATTAATGGCTTTGTTTGGTGGAATAAAAAAGCAGACATCGACACAATAATAAGTGAAAATGGTGAACTGGTATAGGTTTAGGCCCTTATCAACACTGTTGGGTTATTTAAGAGGCGGTGCCTCCGAGTTTAACGTCCGAAAGGACCGAGCCAAGTAGGAAATTCGTGTAAAGTGCCTTTCCCAGGGACACAACGTCGGACCGAGCTGAGACTCGAAACGACAAACCAACAATCGCAATGATAGATGAGACAGAAACGTCAGAAGGGGAAAAAAGAAGCAGGACCTAGCACTAACAGTAGCATCCTCAAACCTCCCACAGAAAATGACCTATACTATTCGGTACCTTAGAACTATTCTGTTTAAGTTGTTGAGACAATGAGGTCAGAATGTAATGCTCTATCAGCTCTATCAAGATCGAAAGATTATTAGGAGTCGTCATATCAAGATGTTCAAAGAATTACATTCGAAAAGGCATGGCCATTTTTCAAAACTAGGGACCGAGTAGTTAGAATTGTTCTAATTCTAGGGTAGCTTAGTGTTGGTCAGAAGAAAGATAGAAATATCAGATGGAAAGTAAAGAAGTTGGACCTGCAAGTGGCGTTCTCCAACAACCCGCAAAAAATTATTCTGACAATTATTACCATTTACTATGCTTGTGAAAAATTAAATGTTCTTTTTTATTACAGTGTATGCCGCATAGCTGGTACCTGGCTAATGACATGCAGTTCTACTTGCTCAGCCCTCTCCTGCTTATTCCATTATACTAGTGAGTCTGTTCGTTTATAATAGTGAGTCTGTTGTTTCATTATACTAGTGAGTCTGTTAGTACTAGTGAGTCTGTTCGTTTATAATAGTTAGTCTGTTGGTTACATTATACTAGTGAGTACCTCGGAATAATATTTCAAAACCTTCACATAACCCCCTGGGGCGGTGCCACTGACTGGAGTGTCTTTAGGCCATTCCCATAGGGGGGACATTTCTCGTTCATGCACAGTTGAATTGTAAATGGGTTGATTCATCAATGTCACGCTCATAACTGTGCCTGGTGTACAACAGGGAACTGCTGCTTTTTTTCTTTCCTAATCCTTACTATAGTCATTTTTCCTCTACTTCTTTTGTATGTCTGTCACACTCTTGTGACCAACTATTTCCGTGGTGCCTTGATAGTCGAAGCAGACTTTGTGCTATGAAGCTAGAGAGGTGAGCAGAGTAAGCCTGATTCCCTGTAAGAACTTCTCTGTTAACATCCACCCCTTGGCACTCATGTGACCTTATGCAGTTGCGAGCGCCGTAAAATCTCTACTAACATAACATAAAACCTTCACATCACCTTTCTTCTAGTGAGTCTGTTCGTTCCACTCTACTAGATCTAGTGAGTACCTCGGAATAATGTTTCAAACCTTCGCATCATCCCCGCCCACCGGCACTCCTGGGGGCTTCTGATGTTTTGTTTTGTCGTTTATTTTCCTGGGGGGGGGGGGGGTCCCAACAGTTAGAATACTTTACCTGGAGCTAGAGTAATCAGTGTACATTATTAGATTAAAAATGTGCAGCGATCTTATATAACTTGATATATCTTAGGGTTAGACCTTTTCTGCTCTCTCCCTCTCTCTCTCCCTTCCCCATTTTTATTAATCCCCCAACCCCATCCCACTTTTACTAAACCAAAACTAACTCACCAATTCGTCTCTCCTCCACTCCCCCCTCCCCTCCCACCACCTGTAGTAATATGTACGCAGGCCTTGTAGTGTGTGGGACGGTTCTGTTGTCCAGCTGGATAGTGACTGGTGTCCTCAGCATGAGCAGAGGTTGGGTGGCTTCGGACTTTGCCATGGTGTGAGTGTTTTTGTCGTTAACGGGGGTTCTTTTTTAAAATCTGAAACAGTTTTTTTGTGTTTGTTGTCGTTTGGTCGGTGGGTTTTTTTTATTTGCTTCATTTTTGTTGTTTTGATTTGTGTGGCTTGTTTTTGTTTGTTTGTTTGTTGTTGTGTTTGTTTGTTTTTTAGTTATTTAGTAAGCGTTTTACTTCACTCTTCCACACCATTGTTGTTGTTGTTGTTGTTGTTGTCGTTGTTGTTGTTGTTGCTGTTGCTGTTGTTGTTACTGCGGTTTTTGTTGTTCTTTTGGGGATTAAAAATGTATTTGTTTGATAAGCGTTTTTATCACTTACGCTACTTACAACACGATTTCATCCCAATTGACTTTTTTTGCTTTAGGTATTGTTTATATACTTTTGTGTTGTTGTTTTGGGGAAGGGGGGGGGGGGGCTTTTTTCCTTAAATGTATTTAGTTGGCGTTTTCCATCACTTATAACTTAAGAAGATCATAAGTGCGGAAGATGAATGGTGTTACGAGAGGGAAGCATACATGTACAAAGATACCCCCCCACCCCACCCCAGCCCCCAACAAAAAAAAACCGGGACAGTGCTACTGACTGAAGTTGTGTTAGGCCATTCGTAAAGGGGGATCTTGACATTTCTTAAACACAGCAGAATTGTAAATGGGATGATGTATCAATGTAATGCTCATACTGTGCCGCAACAACGTTGGGGGGAATGCTGCTTTTTCGTTCCTCATCCTCGCTATCGTCATTTTCCTCTACTTATTTTGTATGTTTGTCACTCTCTTGTGAACTGCTATTTCCGGGGTGCCTTGATAGTCGAAGCAGACTTTGTGCTGTTGAGGCTAGAGAGGTGAGGAGAATATGCCCGATTCCCCTTTTGGACGTATCTATTGACATCCACCCCTTGACGCTCATATGAACTCATGCAGTTGCGAGCGTTGTGAAACCTTACTAAGACTTTTTTTTTAAAGGGTGGGGAGGTAAATAACACAGTGTAACAAGTTTGTTTGTTTGTTTAGTATAGGGTTTTACGGCGCTCGCAACTGCATAAGGTCATATTAGCGCGCGGGACACACCTAATACTTTTTCGTTGGTAGGAAATTTTGAATTTTGCCCGGGTTGCGGCCGAAGCCTACTCTTATCGATTTTAGACCACCAAGGGATCTTTAACGTGCGCAACTTGCACACGGGCCCTCCGAGATTTTTCGCCCTTGTCCGAGAAGGCTAGGTGTAGATCTTTCCTACCAGAATATCAGGGGTGTGGCAGAAAGACAGCAGTTAGGAGGAGCCAAGGAGTAGCAGTAGAAAGGCTGCAGAAAGAGTCAGGAGCCCAGAGGAGGGGGCAAAGGAGGTGAGGGGGTGGGGGCAGAAAGTGGAAATGAAAGCAGACAACAGAACATTGTTAGAGATCAGGAAAGGATGTGAAAGGAGACACTTTTAGAGAAGAAAATATTTTGGTCGCAATCCGGAATCGAACCCGGGACCTTTGAATGAGAGGCCAACACCTTAACCTCTAGGCCACGACAGCCCCCTTAACAAGTTTGATAACAACGAAGGAACAGACCACACTAGACCACCAACCAACTTCCAGCGTCTAGACTGTACCCACCTGCTTTCCTCAGGTTCACCAACCAACAAGTTATGAACAGAGGTATTGGCTATTACGTAACTCCCTACACCAGAGTAGGACCCTTCGTCATCGGAATTTTGGCCGGTTACCTCATGGCGCGACACGGCGGCAAGATCGCCATGAAGTGGGTAAGGCCTGCCCCTTCTTTACACTGACAGCTTCATGTATTACGCTTTGTTCAGTTTTGTTTAGTTTAAGCAGAAATTTTTACAGCACTTGCAGCTCAAATAGGGCACTAATTTCCTGATGTTTTATTACTTTAGTTTAGTTTAAGTAAGAGTTGTATGGCACTTGCAACATTTTCGACACTTATATGACCTAATTGCAACATCTTTCGTCCTTATCTCTCCTCCTTCTTTTGTGTTTGTTATTCTCTTGTAACACCTCTAATCTTCGGCACCAATAAAACCTAATTGTGTCGCAAGTACCGTAAATGTTTACTAAAACAGAAGCACTTGCAACACAAATAGGTAATACAAGTGTCCAAGATTAGAGGTAGTTACTAGGGAATCGCCTACAACGAAAAGGGGGAGAGATCAGGAAGAAAGACGATTGGTAGAAAAGGGGGATAGATCAGGATGATAGACGTTTGATAGAAAAGAAGGAGAAATCAGGACGATAGACGTTTGATAGAAAAGAAGGAGAAATCAGGACGATAGACGTTTGATAGAAAAGAAGAGGATTTACTTCCCATCGATGCACCCCTCCCCCCCCCCCACCAAAGAAAAACAAAACAAAACATTTTAACCCTATCCGTACACCCTGGGGTCATTTTGTACCCCTGGGGTTGTATACTTCACATTTTAGAATAGTTCTAGTGCGAAGATTTCTTTGAAACTTTCAGTATTCCTCAAAAAAAACATTTTGACAGACAGCTATGCAAAGCGCACTGATGGATTAACGAGTACATTTCCTCTTTGGAAAGCGGTTGAACAGAGTCTCCCCCCCCTACATCGTATGGATACGATAGTAAAACACGACGTACATGCCCTCATTTTGGCTAAAATTGAGTTTTAAAATACATACATAATGAACCAGAAATATGTCTCAGCACACGATTTGATATTTTTACAACACACGTCCATGGGAATGGAATCCGATGTGATGCAACGTGGCACGTGCAACAAACTTACAAAAGAAATGAGCGGCTTCTTAGGGTGACAAGTCTTGATAATCTAATAATACAATCCTTGTTTCTATGCCACATGATTGCACGTGCACATATTTGCAGTACGTAATAGCATTTGATGGCAAGTTTGATGGAAAGAGAGGCAGAGGCAGACAGAGGGAAAAGATACTGGACAAGATGACAACATGGCTAGGAACAGCAAGAACAACAGACACCATTGCTGAAACGCAAGACAGAGTGAAGTGGAGGTCCATGATCGCCCACGCCAGTCGGCAAGGCACCGGGTGCTGATGAATAGTCTTTGACGATTGGCTGAGCTGTTGCTATGGCAACCGGCCTTTTGATTGTTTATAAGAGTTTCCATAGGAATGTGGTAAGATTCTCTTAGCTCGAAGTCGTGATGACACAACCCTTTTTGTATAATATGTTGCACAGTTGTTGTCGCATATTTTGATGGCCTTCGTGTAATTTGTTGCCCATTTTACATCGGCAGTACGTGGTGGCCATTGGCTGGGCCGTTGCCGTGGCAACTGGCCTTGCGGTTGTTTACGGTATCCATGGCGACATAACTGCTAAGGACCCCAGCTCTACAGAATTTGCCGCTCTCTACAACGCTTTGTCCAGGTCGGCTTGGTCTGTCGCCATCAGCTGGGTCATCATTGCCTGTGCTTCGGGATACGGAGGTGAGAAGACTTTTGTAGCTGTAGACTTAATGATTGTACACCAGCATCGACACGGTTTAGACACACTTTTTGTTGGTTATATTTCTATAATATTGTGTAATAGAGTCTGTCTTTCGGTCACGGGGCGAATAAGCCACCAACGCCATGACTTACGAGAGACCTGCATGGGTGTTGTCGGGAACTCTAATGTTGTTTCCTTTTTCTTACCCATCAAACAACTACCGTCCTTATCTCTCCTCTTTCTTTCTTTTGTTTCTCAAACAACACCCCTAAACCTTGGCACTTTTATGATCTGTGTTTCAATTGCCGTAAAACTCTTACCAAATATACAAAAAGAAAATTGCGGCTAAAAAGCTACCACCGAACTTAAAGACTGTTGAAGAGTTTAGTTTTAGTAGAGGGTTTTACGGCCCTCGCAACTGCATAAGGTCATATGAGAGACAAGGGGTGGGTGTCAACAGAGAAGTCTTTACAGGTAATCAGGCTTACTCTGCTCACCTCTCTAGCTTCAACAGCACAAAGTCTGCTTCGACTATCAAGGCACCCCGGAAATAGCAGGTCACAAGAGTGTGACAAACATACAAAAGAAGTAGAGGAAATTGACAATAGTAAGGATTAGGAAAGAAAAAGCAGCAGTTCCCTGTTGTAGATCAGGCACAGTTATGAGCGTGACATGATGAATCAGCCCATTTACAATTCTACGATGCATGAAAGAGAAATGTCCCCCTTTGGGAATGACCTAAATACACTATAGTCAGTGGCACTGCCCCGGTGGGTACTGTCGAAGACCATTTGCCACAGACTTGAAGAGTCATTATAATCATCATAATATTATTATGTATAGATCTAATATAATTGTAGAGCTAACAGTTTTACTACCCACATTGACACAGTTTGGGTATTATTAATGTATTAATTCTTACCAATTTCATTTCAATACGAAGAAACAAATTCCGAAAACAAATTTTAGTAGCATTCAGGACTTTAATTAAAAAAGGGAAGTAAAACCCACAAAAAAATTTAACAAAATCCCATAGAGTTACCCCCTTTTAAACTATATAGTGTACATCTATGCAAAATCCTCATTCTCCGTTTACGTTTACTCTCCTTTTATGTTTCAAGTATTTCCCTGGCCCCTGTAAAATTGTGGACAACTGGTTACAACCTTTTCTGCCTTAAACGACTTTTTAAATAGTAGAGAAATGACTTATTTCCCCCCAGGTCCTGTGAACTGGTTCCTGTCATGGAAACCGTTGATCGTGCTGAGTCGTCTGTCCTATCTCTGCTACCTGATCCACCCGTACATCATGTACATCTACTTTGGCAACCAGGGAGCTGCCTTCTTGCTCACCAACTCCAACATGGTAGTTTTATTCTTTTTGTGTGTGTGTGTTTGTTTAGCTTTTTGTTTGTTTGTTTTGTTGCTGTTTTGTTGGGGGGGGGTTGTTTGTGTTGTTGTTTTGTTGGGGTTTTGTTGTCATTTTGTTTGTTTGTTTTATTTTTGTTGGTGGGGTTGTTTTGGGTTGAGATGCGATTTTTTAAAATAATTTCCTGGGTGGGTGGGGGGGGAGGGAGTTATTGCTTCAGCCTGAGACACGACTCCAGGAACCCCTAGAAAAAACACGTAACGTCGGTGTTATTCTCTTATCTGTAAACATGAAAATAAATTCATAAAAGTAAAAGATGATAGATGTATTATTACTTCCGTGTCAACACAATTTAGAGTATTTAGGAGGCGGGCTGCAGCAACCCTACCTGTCAGAGACATGCTACCTGTCAGAGACATGCAAACTTGAGAGGGATACATCGTCATCATAGCAGACACACCGGAACACACCAGCTAGACAATCTCCTCACACGAGAATCGAACGCACACCTTGGCGAGCGAGGTCGAAGCACCTAATTCAAATTGCTAACAACATCATGGTTGTTAGTCCAGACAGTACGATAGTCTCTCTCTCTCTCTCTCTCTCTCTCTCTCTCTCTCTCTCTCTCTCTC